ATCACAAATATGAACAAAAGAAGATTAAAAATGTTCTATTTTTCTGTCATTGAAATAGTTGATAATTAAATTTGCAATAAAATTTTCCACCTTCAGGCCTGCAGCTCATATTGTTTTAAAATGGGGTTGTAAGGTTACTTTTACGTCTTTTTCTAGAGATATATTCATATATAAAACAAAGTGTCAAAAGGGGCATCCCACCTTTTATTTCAAGTTCACAATAATAAAGCGAGTCAACATCTGATTGAAGTTCCCATAGGTATTTGAAAATACATTATCCACATATATAAATGTACACAGGATGAAATTACACCATTCAGTCGACAGAATGGTTACTGAATGCCCACTGAATGGTCACTGAAAGGTCATTGAAAAGATCCTTTCCCGTGTCTTTTTCGTGACCATCCAGTTACCATTTAGTCGACTGAATCGCATATACATTTCAGCGACCTTTCAGTTATCATTCAGTCGAATCCTTTTATTGAATAATCGGCTTATTTTTAACTGAAAATTGTATTACACTTTTTCCTGATACAATAGCATTTAATTCATCTTATTTCAAATAAAAATTTTAAAAAGAATTAGTACAAAAAAGGGGCCCAAGGCCAGAATCAATTTTGTCCTCTAGCGTGAGAATCTGCTACCATATCAATTACGCTACGACTTCTTATTCAATAAAAGGGAATTGTGACAGGATAGCGGGGTTTTCTTTGTTTACTGTTCTGTTTTAGTAATACAGAACGGGACCATGGTGGGCGGAGCTACTTTTCGTTCTGTATTAACCCTATATACTGTCTTGTATTAGCCAACTTATTTGTATCTAAAATACAGCACAGTCTAAAAATAAATCTGATTCTATTTATCAGAAGCACGTACAAATAGTAAATGCAGATGTTTGTTTTATTATAAATTTTGGAGAAATATTTCCCTGGAAATGTAAAATGTCAAAATTTCTTAATCACTTAAAAACTTATTCCACACAGAATCTACATGTAATTACGATCCAAACGAAAAGGAAAATCACAATAATGGAGAACATCCACTTTCCTCGTGCAAACTCGTTCAAGTCCGAAGACCGAATTTTACGTTTTCCGTGGAAATATACTGCGGATGCGTACTCCCCGTCGAGGCCTCATATACAGAATTAGGCAGAAGTTTGGATGCTTTACAATTAAAAAGTGGGCAGAGCTATTTTTCTTTGATCGTGTCACAAATATTTTAGAGAACTCGTCAGATTCTGTATCGTGAATACAAATTTTGGGTTGGAGACTCGTGCTACGCACTCTACCCCCCCCCCCCCAAAAAAAAGAAAATGTATCTACGATTCAGAACCCGTCTCGTTCTCTAAATAATACTTAAAATCAGTCAATTTGTAGAAATCGATGGAACACTCGATTCACCTGCTGTTGACTCTCACATATTTTGCATATGTACATGCAGATATATATATATATATATATATATATATATATATATATATATATATATATATATATATATATATATATATATATATATATATATTCATATATGATTCATATATGATACATGTAATATTCTTTCTATCCCATTTCATTGGGATTTTAAGTTCCCCTATTTCCAAATCTATATGGAAACTTCAATTCAGATGTTGAATCGCTTTATTCCAGTGAACTTGAAATAAAAGGGGGATGCCATTTTTGACATTAACTTTTCATAATTGGATATATTTCTAGAAAAAGACGTAAATGTAACCTTACAACACAACTTCAAACAAAGCAAAACGCAATGACTCCGCGACATTTTATGTACTACAATAATTCTTAAATCAAGGCGTGCAGTGGTTAGGGTATCTGCTCTAAAATTGTGAAGTAAGGAGTTGATAGTTACGTCACCGGTTCGAATCCCACCATATAGTATCAGTCACATTATCCAGCGATGGGGTATACGTTGAGAAACCGATGCATTTTTGATAAAAATGGCGTGGTTGCCAGCCGGACACCTTTTGTAATCTGACGGTGACTGAGGCCATTTTGGAGAATCGGTGGGGGTCATTGGTAGAAAATAAGTTGTAGTTAAAAATCAGCAATGTCTCCACAGATGCCCCACATCGCTCCTCTTGATATTCATATAAAAACTCAGTCAACACAGTTTTTGTGCGGAAGTACATGGTTGGATGTCAGACTTATGTACGTAGATATGTAGACTATATGAAACGCATACGTGTACATGTGTACAAGTTCGGATTAACAAACTTAGAAGATTAGATTTACAAACTTACAAGATTAGATTTACAAACTTACAAATCTACAAATCTTATCATTTTTTTTTAAATTTTCAAATCTATAAGTAGACTTACTTTTATACTCAGTTCAAGGAGAAGGTATTCATAATCTAATTCATGAGAAGAAAAAGTCACTTGTTAACAAGATGCCTTCAAATCGATATTTAGATATGTTTCAATTGTCAACCTATTTTTAAATCTATATGGAAACTTCAATTTAGATGTTGAATCGCTTTATTCCAGTGAACCTAAAATAAAACGTGGATGCCATTTTTGACATTAACTTTTCATATTTGGATATATTTCTAAAAAAAAAAAGACGTAAATGTAACCTTACAACACAACTTCAAACAAAGCAAAACGCAATGACTCCGCGACATTTTATGTACTACAATAATTCTTAAATCAAGGCGTGCAGTGGTTAGGGTATCTGCTCTAAAATTGTGAAGTAAGGAGTTGATAGTTACGTCACCGGTTCGAATCCCACTATGGTATCAGTCACATTATCCAGCGATGGGGTATACGTTGAGAAACCGATGTATCTTTTGATAATCCAATACAGCACTTTTTGATTGCCATCCGGACACCTTTTGTAATCTGACGGTGACTGAGGCCATTTTGGAGAATTGGTGGGGGTCATTGGTAGAAAATAAGTTGTAGTTAAAAATCAGCAATGTCTCCACAGATGCCCCACATCGCTCCTCTTGATATTCATATAATAACTCAGTCAACACAGTTTTTGTGCGGAAGTACGTTGTTGGATGTCAGACTTACGTACTTAGATATGTAGATTATATTAAACGCATACACGTACATGTGTACAAGTTTGGATTTACAAACTTAGAAGATTAGATTTACAACTTACAAGATTAGATTTACAAACTTACAAATCTAGATCTGGATTTTAGAACTCGATTAAATTCCATAGATATTTACATACGTATTTTGTACTTCAACGGAATCTTCCTTTTTTATTTCATTTACCTTTGGTAAAATAAAGGAAAAACAATATTTAAGTGATAAAATTAATTTGTACGAGACAACCCTGCAGTTAAAACATTTTTAAACGAAACAAAATACATTGGACGCACACAATGATAGATAAATGATTATAAACTGATGAAAATAATTCAATAAAGCACTTTTTGTATTTATTCTTTATTTTTTAGAACAAACGACGCACACAATTTCTCTTCCATCTACATATGGTGGACATTTCAATGAACCGCATCGACCTTCTACAAAATAGAATAGGTAGTCTTCTTTACCAGCTTTGCCGCCATGTAAGGTGTCTGGATCCTCGTCAACACATTTGTATGCTGTTCCCGCAGGATGACCATGATACCCAGCCATTAGGTAGCCTTGGTATTCGAGTTTCCACCCCTTGTAACAGGTTTTTCTCGCTAAAAAAATACAACAAAAATATTATTAATTGTAACAAAAAAAAATCCATAAGAGAAGAAAATAATGGATTGTGATAGAAAAAAAAATTACACAGCTTTCTTTAAAGTATATATATGCTCAAAACCTTTAAAATTGTGTAACATGTACAATATCAATAGCATATAAAAGCATCTTTAAAAATATAAAGAAGGTTTTATTCTGAATTTATAAGTACAGGTTTTGACATTTTATTTGAGATGTTACAAAAAGTTGATATTGTCCGGAAATTTTAACTGCATAAAAAATGCTTTTTATTTAGAAAACTTTTCAAACAAGGAATGTATTTATTGTCATTATTTAATAAAACTGTAATTTTTTTTCATTTTCAAATATAATTTTTAAAATCCTGATACAATATTTAAATAATTCTCTAGCTATTACAAATGGATTTTCAAGCCTGTTACAATTATTCAATATTATTTACTCGCCTGGAAATATTTTAACAATTGATCTATTATGAACAAGGCAAACTGCACAGGGTACATCTTGGTACTGAAGCTATTCTTGACGTAATGTAGTTGGTACTTTGCTCCATAAACATAAGCCCTATCAGCTTGATTTCCATCCCAGCTGTAGATCCCCCACTCTGGATCCCTCGGTAAACAAAGAGGATCAACAGCTGCCCCTTTGTGAATAATATGATCCTCCGGTGAATCCTTTAAAAGATCAACCCAGGTAGCACAACAAGGTTATTAAAACGTTATCAAAACGTTTTCAAAATGTTATAAAAACATTTTCTAAAACGTTATTACAACGTTATTTTGTATGGTTTTTTAAACGTTATCATAACGTTTTTCAAAAACATTGTCCTGCAATGTTTGGAAAACATTTTTGAAAACGTTTTCCAAACATTTTTAAAATCGTTTTTCAGAACATTTCTAACATGTTTTAAAGGATTAAAAAAATTTACAACAAAAAAAGTATTGTACTTCCTATGGTTTTAATTCGTTTAAACTCTTTCACAAATATAATCCATGAACTCTTTTTACATCAACACAGTCAATAACAGTCTTCTTAACAGGGAAGATTTGTCACAATTGAAATAAGAAAAAAAATCACAATATCCTTCTTCCTTTGGAAATCATCTGTTTGGCACTTGGACTTCTTTGTTTTCTTCTGAAAAACAAAGATATAGAGAATAATTTTAGAAGATTTAAAAACTATGCATAGTCATAAATCCGATAAATACAAGAAAAGTGTGTATGTTTTTGGCAACAGTTCTATAAAATATATACTAAATAAACATGATAAATCTATCTCCGTTATGCATTCGTGTCAGGAAATTTCAAACATATCTTTAAAATTAATACCCCGGTAAATCCCTCAAAGATGGTATGTAGCAAACTTCATTCTGTCCAATTCCTCTCATAACATGTAATATTTAGTCTTTGCAAACAGCCACTGTAAAATGAAAAATGATATTCATTTTGAGAATTGTAAATTGAAAAATATATACATGACACTGTATATAAATACAAATCATTTTACATTCCCAAAGAAGTATTAAACCAACTCGTTAAGCCCCCCCCCCCTCCACACACACACACAAACACGCAAACTCAACCTACTCGATCTATTTAAATCATGTTTTGAAGCTTTCCATTTGAAAATCTATCTCTAAGCCTGGGGTGATTATACTAAAGTACACATTAGTAAAGAAAATTCACACTAGACACAAGACATAATACATATGTAAAATAAATGCACAATCATGATAAACTTCAATGATCAGTTTACTTCAAAAACAACCAATTAACCGCCCTCAAATATCCAAGATTTATACAATCATTTACCATTGTTTACAAGGAATGATTCAGGCTTATACATACACATGCAGCTATAATACTATTTCTTAATACATGTATACACGATGAATACAACTTTAAATTCAACATACCTTACGGTGATGTAAAATATTCCCTAAATCCTGTTCTTTGTCTCTCAAGAATGCTGCCCGGTTTTTCAAAATCTTGATAAGTTGACCTATATAGATCACGTGGAAATAGTTTGCAGCAAGGAGCGGTTTCATCAGCGCTGACCACGGCATCCCGCTGTGTCAATCAATTAACTTTTGATAAACGCGTTATCCAGGAGGAAACAACACAAGTGAATAAATGCACTGCATTACTTTGATGAACTACATCACATCTTAGAAAAAAATACTTTAAAATGGCTTTTTATACATTTTTCACAATCATTATTTTTTTTTTTTAGGAAATCAATGTGGCATATAAAACAATTAAAAAAGAACTGAATTAAAAACATTTTTGTTTAATTTTTTTCCTTAATATGCTTTAAAAGATATCACTTAGTATTAATAACAAACAAACAAAAAAGTAAATACTATAATGTATATTTTTAAGAATTGAAATATATAGAGATATTTGTTGTTTCTATAACGTTTTAACAACGTTTTCCAAACATTTTAAGACAATGTTATATTCATGTTTTCTGGTATCATTTGTAATCGGAATTTATAATAAATTTCATTCAATTTCAAAATAAATATTCTTAAAATTTGAGTCAACGTACACAACACACTGTGTATATTCTTAATATCATATTATGAATTTTTGAAATAGTTTTTCTCAAACAATGGAATATGAAACATATTTTATAATGCTTTTTAAGCAATAAAAAAAATCTTATTATAATTATAAAAATGTAATGCAAAGATGTTTTCTAAAAACTTCCTTCCAACCAGTATTAAACGTTATGAAAAACATTTTTAAAATGTTTTTGAGAAACGTTTTCTAAAAACGTCATTATAACCTAGATAAAACGTTATAAAAACATTTTTCAAACGTTATGTCAAAAACGTTTTGGAATAACTTCCTTACAACCGGAATATAATGTTATGAAAATGTTTTGTGCTACCTGGGAATCCAGGATGAGTTTCATTTGCAATTCCTCTCGTTTCTTTACACATAAGGTACACTAAAAATAGAAAATATTCTCTCAATTTATGAGCATTTTTTCCCGAATAAATACAATTTAAAAACACGTTCAAAATAATTTACAAAAACACAATTTATGTTTCTAAGTGAAAATTCATTTACCAGAATAAACAAGTTTTGTGTTGGAGGGACAAGTCTTCTTTCCCCATCTTGTGTATACAGCGTTTCTTGTTCCTGTACCTTGAGAAGCCCCAAAATCACATCATTTTATTGTGCGAAATGATAAATATCAATTTAGATATACATTATCTTCACCGTATGTTCGATTAATAGAATTCCCGTCGAAATATGGCTGAAATATTGCCAATTCAGCGTTAAACAATATCAATCAATCAATCAATCGAATAGAATACCTTCATCCTTTCTGCTAGTGTTCACTTCCTCCTTGAACTTTTTCATCGATTCCTCAATAACATCGGTGAAGCTTTTGAATTCCCGCCTTAAAGCTTCCACCTGATATACTCCTAGAGCAGACGACAGTTGTCCTGTTAGATAACCCTGTAACATGTCTTTACAACTTCCGGTCTGTGTATCTCCGTTTGCAGCGTGAAGAAGAAAAACCAGAATAAGATAAAACGCCATCATCTAAAGTCAAAATAAGATATTATAATAAATCAGTATAATTGATTTTCTAACTTAGATACAGATATTAAATCAGTATAATTGATTTTTCTTTATTTTAAAATTTTTTTTTGAAAGGTTACCTCGTATATTGTACTGCTGAAATGAAATATCCATTCCAAAGACGAAAAAAATATATAATAATTTTGTATGGTTAATTTCAGTTAAAAAAAGATAAATTTCTTTTCTTGAAAAGGACACACAGATCTACACAACAATATTTTTTTTCCTTTATATCCTACCTTCGTGGTTATATGTTTCCTTGATGAAGACAATGTGGTTTTCAGTCCGTGTATATGTTTTATTCTCTTTGTATGGAACATCTGGTATCAACCTACACATTCTGAGACACGAAAAAGATAACTTAAAATATCATTTAACACCGATTTATGGAAGTCCATCAAATTGTAATAAAACAACTAAAAGTATGAGAACATTTTATTATTCCTAGATAGCAATGTATAATACATATATGAAGTAAGCTACATGTACGGCATTAAGAATTGATATAATTTGGACCTCATTCGTCTTTGTTCAAAAGGAAAGCATAAAAGAGTCAAATTATATTTTTGATAGAAACATTCTGGATGAAATTGTGATAAATACAGTTTACAAAACTCAAACAGTCTAAATAACCATGAAGACTGAAAGTATTCACCGTGTGCTCCTTGTCACGACCGGGAATAAACAATCGAACATATGTTCGAATAAACAATGATAAATCACAATAAAAAATAGAGCGGATAAAATAAGATTTGAAAAGATAAGCTTTATGTAAGTCAGAATGGTAGTTAAAAATAAGACAGGTTCTAATGAACTTTTAAATGAAATTATTTGCATATACATAAAAGTAAAGTAATGAAACAATATAACAAATAACTACCTTTAAATGTATACTGCACACAGTCTCATTAAGAGGGCATATCATGTACAGATACGTATACTGAATGGAAAAAGAAACGCATGGTAAATTAAATTAAATCTGTTATAATTTCAAATTTGTTTACCAGAACTGTAATCAAATATTTTAATTCATCTATCAACAACATGTTTTCAAAATCTGTGTTATGACTGATAATTCATGAGTCATTGAAATTGATATGTCAATACCCCCCTCCCCCCCAAAAAAATATTCAAATGAATATTCACTTTATCTCCCTTGTGCATCAGTAACAGGGTTGATTTTCTGTGTATTGAGTTTATCAGAGCATATATTTTTCTCATAATATTATTAATAAAACCCTTCCGACGGTAGTCTTAATGGTTGAGAGTAGGTGTATTATTCGAAAGCCAACAAATCCCTCGTCCAATGAATCCCACGAATTTTCGATTTAGGATAGAATGTACAGAATCCAGCTGATTTGGTAAATGTGATTGTTTGTAAGAAATTGAACAAATTTAAATCTACATACACTACCTGCAAATGATTCTAGTTACATGAGTTTAATTTTTCGTGGACCAGTGGTTCTCGAGAAGAATACTTTTAAAAAATGCAATGAATTTTTCACTGAGTCATAATTATCTCCCCTTGAAGAAGGTTTGGCCCTTTATATGAAGAAACTTTATTATTGTTTATCCAAAAATACTTTGTGGCAAGTTTGGTTGAAACTGGACCAATGGTTCTTGAGAAGAAGATAAAAATGTGAAAAGTTTACGACGACAATGATGACAACCATGCCAACAACGACAACAACAACAGACAATTTTATGTCTGTCTGAGCGTCCGTCAGTCTGTTTGGGGTAACCATCTCTTATCCACAACTCCTCTTATACCGCTGAATAAAATTTAATGAGACTTTAACAGAATCTTTGTTACATATTGCCATTGTGCACATCCTATTATACTTGATCATTGGAGTCATATTTCAGCGTCCGGTTTCCCAGAGCGAAACATTGACATTGCCATTTGTTCTATAATATTGAAGGGTAAGTATACTTAATTCTTTTAGCAATGGATTCATTGGCAGTGAACAAAACCCATCATGCACTTCAACTCTTCCCGTGATACTGTGGTCAGCGCATCTTAAAAAGATCCTCTTACCTGTGAACCGAGTTTAAGAGCTCCTGATCACTACTCTTTTGTATGAGCCTCGTACATGTACAGTACGTTTTAGAGCTGTCAAAGTTTTCTCCTAGTCATCACACCCTTTGTATGTGTCTGTACAATGAGTTTGAGAGCTGTTCTTACCTGTAAACTTTCAAAACTTTCTCCTGGTCGGCACACGTATGTTTGAGTCTCTTTCCTGTACATTGAGCTTGAGTCTTTTACCCATATCCTGAATTTTGAAACTGTCAAAGCCTTCTTCTGGTCATCACACCTTTGTTTGAGTCTACCCATATACTGAGTTTGAGAGTTGCCATTGCATTTTCATGGTCATATAATGCATATTTGTCTGAGACTCTCTACCTGTACGCAGAATTTGAGAGCTGTGTAAGCTTTATGTTTGTCAGCACCCTAATGTTTGAGTCTGTTATCTCTTCACTGAATGTGACAGGTGTCAATGTTTCCTTCTGATCAGTAAACAATTGTATGAGTTTCCAATGCTTTCTCCTAGTCATCGCATATTTGTTTGAGCATTTACCAATACTCTGAGATTGAGAACTGCCAATGCTTTCTCCTGGTCAACAAAACTTTGTATGAGTCTCTCTCCTGTACATTGAGTTTGAGAGCTCCCGAGTAGAACATTTTTGTTTTCGTCTCGTACCTTTACACTGAGTTTGAAAGCTGTCAAATCTTTCTTCTGGTCAGCACACCTTTGTTTGTTTTACAAATACACTGAGTTTGAGTGGAGGCATATTGATAACCATTTCATTTCATAATAATTCTTACCACTTTATACTCATTACTGCTGCAAACAAGTACAGCAAAACTCGGTTATAACTAAGTCGCTGAGACCTATGAAATTACTTCGATATATCCATATAAGATATAACCATATAATATATACACATATAAGAAATTCATTACATTTATATAGCTGGGGATCCAATAAGACCTCGCTATATCCATGAATTCGCAATATCCGTGTTCGTACTAAACGATTTTTGCTGCATTTATTTATTTATTTATTTATTTATTTATTTATTTTATTGCTGCTTCATTTAAAGTATACATTACTGCTTCAAAGACTTTTACATCCATGCATCTGCTCATGCATATATGCACATATTAAGAAGTACCAGTAGTGCATGTATAAGAATTCTTTTCCCTTTTATTTCTTGACATTGATCAGAATGGTTTTTACACTTTTTATAAATTATTGCATTTAATATTATATAAATGGCGCCTGTTTTGGAGGGTAGCATTTGAAATAGACAACCCAAGGAAAACCATTGACAAAGGTTTTCCGAGGAGTGTCTATTTCAATTGTTTCTCTCCAAAACATGCACGATTTATTTTATTATACTGAATGTCTTATTGATTTAGGATGTCAGCAAAAAAATTGTCGATCGTCTTTACGTTCACGTTTCAAACTCCCCGCTTCTTCGAAAAAGATTAATTGACCTCTTTATTGTTTGTTTAAGGATATCCGATCCTCAGCCAGGAAGGATAACTCCAAAAATTAATATTTAATTTGAAATGTATTAAAATAA